GCTGTGTGGAGGAACCTGATGGATTCCCGCGCCTCTCCTTGGTCTCGCTCCAGCGCGCCCGCACGCGCCGCGCGCCGCTCCACCGCCCGCCTCTGCCGTTGGCCTTGCGCGGCCCTGCCAGCGGGGAGACGCTGATGCGGATGCCCGAGACCAAGGAGAGGCGCGGGAATCCATCAGGTTCCTCCACACAGCCTGCCTTAGGGATGGAAAGAGGCCAGAAGACGGCTGGCTAGGCCCTTCAGGTCGTTGAGACGGGGTCTGGCTTGTGGGCCACCTGGGGTCAGGGCCTTTCCAACTCTTTCGCGGGTGCATGATTCAAGGTCAGCCAACCAGGGCTGCCTACTAGGTAAGACCCTTAAAGGTGTTGACTAAAAATGACTTCTGGGGTAAGAGCAGGACAGCTAAGATTAGGGAAGCAATCTAGAATTTGATAGGATAGGTATGGGCGGAGTTGAACGGGTCCCCAGGAATTGAGACCATTGAAGAGGTTCTTGAAGATTTAGGTGTTCATACAGAACTATCAAAAGCAAAAATTTGGGTTCCAGGAAGAGAAGGTGTAGGGAGTCTCAGGAGTAGGAAAACTGAGGGTGCTAATTGGCTATAGTCAGCTTGCATCTAGTGCATAACGGCTCCAAGGGCCTAGGGCTAGGAAGATCATAGAACCCAGACTTTAAGGAAGAGCCTCCCTGCTATAGACAGTCTAGCACCCTGCCCTCGCCACCCAGGAGCCAGCACCTTCCACAGCAGAGATGGTGCAGATAGAAAGAGAATATTAACAAGCGGTTACCGAAGTGTACAGGCCCTACCCTTCCTCTGTGAAAGGTGTCGCAAAGGGCCAACAGACGCCTCAATGACCGGGACAAATACCAAGTTTATTTCACAAACACTAGGAAGATGGGCTGGATGGGGAGTAGGGGACACAGGTGCACAGCTGTACACAGTCACCATCAGCAGCCCACTCCCCACACTGGGGTTCAGTCTGGACTGCAATGCCTCCAAAGTCAACAGGCAGCAAGAGGTGAGTGCAGGAGGGCCCTGAACACCAAGCCCAGGAAAGGCTAAGGGACACAGCTCCAGCTGTCCCAGGAAAACCAGCAATAAATAACAGTGGGGCACGGCCCCACCCACACAGATCATCTAGTCACCCATCTTCACTCTGGAGGTCTGCAAAAGAAGAACAGGGACAAATCAGGCAGGGACGTGACAAGATCACAACCAGCAGGCCAGTGAGTGGACAGACAGACCACAGATGGATACAAGACAGACACACTGATAGACAGCGACAAAGGAGATCAGCAGTACAACAAAGAGCAGCACTGGACAGTGCCAGTGTCCCCAGGAGTCAGCCCAGCCAAGCAGCCAGTCATGTTTAGACCTTCAGGCTGGTCTTTTCGCCACAAACCCACACACTGATAAAATACAGACTCCAGACGTCCGAGTCTACTGACAGGCATGACGTGCATATGCACACAGACCAGGAGAGAGGAAAGCGGGTCAAGACTGTCACGGACATCCATCAGAGGCTGTATCACAAAGAGGACATGCCCAGAGGCAGCAGAGAGGAAACGGGTGCAAACGGACTAATGGAGAGATACATGCATATACAGCAACAGACAAAGGGGAACCAAGAGATGGGAAGGGGTCTCACAGCTACAGGTGGAGAAGGGAGGCATTTCTATTCCTCTCAAAGCAGAGTAAAGCTAGGCTGAGGACAAGGACAAAGTTCCCTAGGGGGAATTCAGCACCTGAAGGATTGCGACGATGACCCCAAAGAGGCCAATGGCACTGCCAAAGATCTCCACGATGAGAATCTTTACAAAGAGGCTGGGGTTCTGTGCATCAGCTAGGGCGGCCCCACTGCCCACGATGCCCACGCAGACTCCACAAAAGAGGTTGGAAAGACCAACTGTGAGGCCGGCCCCAAACATGGAGTAGCCTGGAGGATAAAAAACAGCTCAAGTGAGGTCAAGACAAGCACAGGAGATGATGAAGGATCCGAAATGGGCTAATGGGGCCAATCCCACCCCAACTCTGTAAAGCAGGCTCAAGCAGCAAAGAATATAAAAAGGAGTCTGAAGTTGGGAAGTCGGAGCTAGGAGCAAGTGTGTCTGTGTGTATGCATGTGGGTGGGGGTGCAGGGATGTCTCACTCTAGTTCTGTAGTGTTGGCTGGCTTCTTAGCTCAATGCCTGCCACTTAAAGGCCCATACCACCACACCTGGCAAGACTGAACTTTGGGCTACCCACTCACCTGCATGGTAGTTTCGATGGCCAATGGCCTTGGGGTCAGTAGCACTGAAAGGCTGAGGAGGACAGGTCATCAGAAGCCATCCCTTAATGCACCTACCTTCTCCTCCAATCTTTAGGCAAAGCATAAACCACTGGGTCTCCCCTTACCTCAGCCATGTTGCTAATGACAATCGCCATGATGATGCCATAGATGGCCACAGCTTCACAGAAGATAATGCTGGCAATAGTAATGGTAAAGGGTGGGGGTGTGGAGAAAAGAGAGGAGAAGGAAATCAGCCATTTGTCAGAAAATCCCCAGCCAGCTCTCCTTGACTCACGATGAGGCTGGTCACAAGCCAGTATGTCAGCAGACCTCCATCGCAGCTGGCTGGCTTTGACAATCAAAACCTCTTCTACTCACCTAACCAAGTTCTTGGTCTTGATTCTGGGGGCCTTCACCCCACCTCCAATGATGGAAGAGCCGGTAATATAGATGCCCCTGGGAGAAGGTCAAACTGATTAAAGGTGCTCAAATAGTCACACTGTCCCCAGGATGATTAAGAACCCAATGACACCACCCAACTTCCCACTAATCCCACTGCCCCGACACTTACCAGGCTGCTCCAACCACAGACAGCGAAATTGCTAGGCCAATGCCCAGATTCGACCACATGAAGGGAGAAGTTTCTGTCAGGAACCTGGTGTGGGAATAGGGAAGAAAGCCAGTCGACTGTGGTCAGGAAAGGGCAGGGCTGGGGGAGAGTACACGAAATTCAGCTCCCACCCAGCCCCAGCCCCCCAGTCCCGATATTTCCCATAGGTCCTTGTGTCTGAAGAGTTGAGCTAGGGCTCAGACTACAGAAAAAGAAGAGGCTCCTAGGAGAATCCTCGCCATGCCCTTACCATGCCACATCAAAGCGGAAGCCCAGGTCAAAAATGGTGTAGCAGATTCCTGCAGCAACGAGAAAAGGAGTTAAGGGTTGCTTTTTTGAGACACATTTCCCAGCCTAGAGAAACACTGCCCAACTGCCCGATACATCTAAGAAGACAAGAGTCCTGTCTTCTTAGCGAAACAACCTCCGCCCAGGCCTCCATTTTTTTTTCTTCCTGCCACTCCTTAGGTAACCCGTCTCAATGACACCAAGCCCCTCCGCGGACAAGAGCGGCATCCAGGCCGCGCCAGATCCTGCCGGCCCAGTCGCTGTTTACCCAACAAACTGTGAAGGGGGAGGGCAAGGAGCGAAAAGAGGAAGCAGGGTGCAAATGTCTGCGGCTCACAAATGAGAGGGGGCTGGCGGTCGCGACCCTGGAAGAGCCGGTGTGGCTCTCGCAGCCCGGGGTCGGCCCCCTACGTTGCGGTAGGGCACCGCGCTGGGCCGGCTCCGGCTGCCACCTGCCCCCGCCCCAGCCGGTCAGCTCAGCCAGCCCGGGCCCCGCTCACCCACGACGATCATGCAGGCCCAGAAGGCCACAAAGATCCCGGTGTAGAGCAACGCCAGCCCCGTCATGGCAGCAGCGACGGCGGGGGTCGGATCGGTGGGACCTGAGAGAACACCGCGACCACCGTCCGCCCCGCAGTCTGTTGGCCCGCCCCGCAGTTCCACCTGACCGACGCATGTGACGCGCCGGCTCCACGTGACCTCCGCGCACAGCGGCTGGCTGGCTGCGGTCGGGCCGCGGTAGACGTCGTGCCGCTGAGCACTGTGGTAGTTGTAGTTTCACCCGGCGCTCTGCGCGCCAGGTGCGGCTCTACACTCGTGCTGCTTGTTCCCTAACCTGCCCACTGGATTCCCGGTTTATTCTCCAACCTCTGCAGATCCTTCCGGTCTTTTCTAGTCCTACCTAGTTCTAGGAAGGCTCTGGACTGTTCCTTCTGCTTGAAGGGGGCTTTCGTGGCCTTCGCACTGCCTAGCTAACACCTGGTGGTCATCAGAGGTCATTCTTCTAGGTTGCCTTTCCTAACCCAGAGGCAGGGTGGAGTGCAAGCAGTGAGCTCCCGTGACGTCCAGGTGGTGCTTCCAAGGACATGTCATTCTCCTGCTCAGAACGTGGTAGAATATGTG